CAAGAGAAACATGCTGTCCATGAAGTCTCCCGCAGCTGGAGTATAGTCTCCTCCCGTTATCTGGTGCATTGCTCAAGCCGCGCCTCAGCAAGTCCATGACATCCGATGTAGGCCGTAGGCCACATGCAGGGCTCAGGTTCCACATATCCACTGACAGCTCAAATGGTTCCAGATGGTGCCAGCTAAAACAGCCAGTGCTTCAATATCTTCAATGCTTCCGACGGTCTGCCTTCTCTGTTACTCTCCTGAGAGTCCCCCTCCAGCCCGGCCATGGCGAGTGGTTGGGCTCCCAGCAGGTGCAAAGGTAATGCAAAGGTTACGCACATGCGAACGAAGCCTTATGGCGGTCATCCTTGAAAGGGAAAGATGGGAACGACAAAACTAAGTGATGTATATGTATAATTATGCATATATGATCATATATATGGCTATATATAAAAACGTAAAATTAATTCTATAAATAAATGATACATGTATAATATATATATATACACTTTGCATGATATTTGAATATGTTATTTTTATGTCCCTTGATATCGGAATTCCATTCCATCCACATGCCGAGACGAAGCTGCCCCTGCTCAGTCCGGCAGCCTCAGGATCAGTACCTGGTTAGACATAGCCATTAATAGTCATTATTGGTGATTAATGGTTCTTAATGGCTTTTGTCATAGTTATTCATAGTTATTCATAGTTATTCATGCTTGTTGATAGTTCTTAATTATTATAATATAATGGGTTGTCAATTGAATTTCACCTGCAATAATTACAACATAGACCCTGAGAAAAGCGAATTTCAGGAGGAAGTAGTCTTCCAACCTCTATGGGGTTTAGCTTTCTGTTGGTTGGGGGGATGGGAAGAGAATTAGTGGCCTGGAGCATCCCCAATCGGAGGTTCTTTGTTGAATTTGACACATGAAACAAGGAGCCCACGGTCGCAATGGGCTGTGTAAAGGTGTAAATCTGGCATGTATTGACTTTAAGAGCACATTAACCAGTAGGATCTCCAACGAAGGTGGGGGTGTTCCCAACAACAGGGGGGGGTGATCAACAATAAAGAGTTGGAACCAACAATGATACAATGATAGGTCATGATACATAAGCAACACGATCCAAGATCCGAAAGCAGTGTGAAAAAAACAACAACTGGAATGACGGGCATCGCTTCAATTTCCTGCGCACGTTGGATGGTTTTTGAAGTCATGCTGTCATTTCTTGGTTTGAGCAAGGCCGAGTTGCTTGCTCTGCGGGTTACTGTCATCCAGTATTGGAAAATTCGCAACCAGTGGAAGGGAACAACTGCCCGGCAGCGTCAAGGCCTGAAGAGACAACCCCTGCGCCTGAAGGGGGAGAACCTGGAGAGGATCAGGCACGGTATGGCAGGGTTAAAATCTTCGCACCTGGCCTGGCTTGATGGTTTCGAACATGCTTTAGATGGCAAGCCCAGTGCGTATCAGTATCATTGGCACTTGCAACATGTTGCCCAACATGTTTGCAATCATGGACATTCTCATATTATATTCTCAATACTCTGATCCGCAGGGGGATAAGGACAACAAGCCTGGTGGTGCCGACCTTGGGTATTGTCGCACATGAGATGCAGCAAAATAGTGCTGCACAATTCTCTGGCCCCAAAACACCGAGCTAAGAAATGTCCCCATCAGAACCCAACAAAACAAACATGCATCTATATATGCATCTATTGGCTTCTATTTTTTTGCAAAAGCTGTGAGTAGCTTATATAATCATATATATATAATCATGCTCTTGGAAGGTTCTCGAGGCTCTCGGGGCGTAACCAGTCGCGGCCTTTGTGCAAGGTCCGACCTTGCCTCGTACTCGCGTGTCCACTTACCAACACCTTGGGCAGGCGCAACTCGTATGCTGCTCACAGATGTTCACAGAACGTTGATAACTAGAGAGGAGCTCTTTTTTCTCGGCGATGTTGTCGTTCTCCAGAGACATGCAATTCCCGTGCGAGATCGTAGTCGTTGCATTCAAGCACCTTTGTTGTGAGCAGATAGATCATCTGATCTTGGATGAAACATTGATGTGTAATACGTATATTGTTTTGGGCATTGCTCCTCAGGTTTGGGAATGGCGAGTTGCCACCTCAGTTTTGGCTTTCATGATCAAAATATGCTGCTATTCAAAGTTCACTGTTGGGTTCGAATCGCATCACGCTAAGGGCAACTATGGCTGGATCCTTCCGTTTGAGCAAGTGAAGCATCCAAAGGCGGAACCACTGCGCAGATGATGTGGCTGATTCAGAAATTGAAGAGATTCTGATCTGAGGTTCGCATGAAGATTTTTCTAACATTTCTCAGTATCATTAGGATCATCCTGAATGAATCAACTGAATTTGGACCATTGGCACTTCGAGACACGACGCCATAGCCAGCGCCAGGCTGGGATGCGACAGGGACGAATCTTCGTCAGTCGTACCGACCTGGCCGGACTCCTCCAGCATTTCAGATCAGATATGATCAGATCACAAGCCATGTGCAACCTTCATCAACTTTCCCGGTGTGGAGTGTCACGGTGCAGATCATATTCTTTCAGTTTTGGTCATCTGCGTCATCTGCATGGAAAATCTGGACTTGAGGCGAACTCCAGGGATCTCATGCCCGGCACCTTCGTGCAATTCCAGATTTTTGAGGCCACTGGCCACTGGGTAGCTTCGGACAAGACATTGACATGGTACGTATATGTATGGTACGCTTGGTAGAGTGCATGCAGTTATTCTAATGCAATACTCATATAGAAGCATACATACCTTCAGCATCCTTCAGCTTCTTTTGAACTCTCTGAGATGGCGATGGAAAGAAAGATATATATATATATATATATCTGAGTCAGGATAACATGGGAATCACTATATAGGATATGCAGATGTGGAGAAATTTAAGAGGCCCCAGGTTTCAACTCTAGGCCTCAGTTTTTTGTTGGGTGCCTAGACTCGACTCGCAGCCGAGCCCGCAGGATGAACAAGGCTTGGGTGCCGAGAAGTGCTATGCTTTCAAAGGCCAGGTTGAAGCTGCAGAGATGATCAGAGATGGAGATGGCACTCCCGAAATGGATCGAAATGGGGGTGCCTGGTGGGTATGGAATGCATTGATCAATTTTAAATGGTGATAATTTGTGGATACATATGGTGACACTTAACGACCACTTGGATGACAGTTACCACGGATAAACATGGTGATATTAGGGATGGTTTATGGTTTAGGGCTTTCCACATTACCCGAGCAGCCCATCAGACAGACCCAGCTGCGACGCTTCACTGAAAACAGGTCCGCCGAACTTCCTGTTCAAAGGCAAGGGCAAAGGCAGGGATTCAGCACTGGTCACTGATCAGTGGGGCAACCAACTTGCAACCATTTCTTTTTCTCATTGATTATCATTTGATGAAATTTGGACCAATTCTTTAGTTTGGCCATCATGCCAAAACCACTCACTTAGTGTTGTATCAAGTGGCTGCTTGGAGTTGCGCAGCCAACTCTGAAAATGAGGAAAAGGCAAGAAAGGTGAAGGTAAAGGGCCACCTCCTCAGATCGATATCAACCGCTGTTTTGTGCTTCCTAGTGCTGTGGTTCAGCCATTTAGATCCATTTAGACCCAGCTTCCCATCATTCGAGTTCAGCTGAAGCATGCTGAAACTGAGGAAAGGCAAAGCTGGTGATGAGAAGACTGACGCGCCTGAGGCGGAGTCTTGGAGCCATAGATTTCTTTCTCCGTTGAATAGGAAACTAATGGAAACGATCGATGTGGAACAGCCCTAGATCAGTTTCGGCGCCAGGGAGCTGCCGCGGTGCCCAAGGGACCGGCTCCCGGCGGGGGAAAGCCTTCAGGTGCCCTGGCGGTGCATGCGGCAATCTATGGCAAAACGCTTTCAAAACCGGTGAAGAACCCTGTTTTGAAACCTATCTTTTAATTTTTTGAAAGCAAGACTGATGAAAATAGTTGAACATATGTCGATTTTCGGAAGATAACATCAATAACATCAACTTTTTCCGCCGGATGAAGCTGGAGGCTGTTTGAGGTGCCGTTAAATGAAAACAGCTTTGAACTGCCAGGAGAAGGCAAAGGTGGCAAAGGCAAGGGCGCCGGCCGAGGTGCCTTCCGGAAAACCGGGGAATATACAGATTTCTTGCAGTGGCTGAGGTGTCTATAGGTGTCTTCTTGCTTTGGAATGTTCTGTGAAACCTGTGTGACTCTCCAGATGGCTCCAAAGCATGCATTTGATTCTTGTACCAGTAGTTTGTGAGTGAAAAGGTGATTTGCACTTTGTTGCAGGTACTCTTTTTGCCACGTATATGTTTGTTTTATGATTTATGGCATACCCGCCAAATGCATCGACTACCGGCCCTATCCCCTGGTTGATATCCCATAGCAATGGTAGCACACAGCGGGATGAGATACACTAAAAACATCTGAAATTAGCAGCAACATTCAACAATATCCCTCGACACATGTTGTAGAATTCATATATTTGTATATGCCTATCCATCTAGTCAATTCTAGACATTTAAAATTTATCCAATGGCCATTTCAGGTACCTAAATTGGAGGTACCTACCGTATATGTAAGGGCTATGTAGGGGATATGCCCCCCAAAATATGGCCTTTATATGGCAAGTACCTCCATTAGGGTCCTGAAATTCCCATTGATTTGACAGATGGATGGATAGATAGATAGATAAGATAAGAGAAGATAAGATAAAATTAAATAGACAGACAGACAGACAGACAGATTGATAGATGCAGTAGATAGATAGATAGATAGAAAGATAAGAGAAGATGAGATAAGATTGAATAGACAGATAGACAGACAGACAGACAGACAGATAGATTGATAGATGGATAGATGAGGAGAGAGAGGGGGAGACATACACATATGTATGCATATGATCATATGTAGGTACATAGTACATACGTGTATTGCAATAGATAGACAAAGACGGACAGCAACCGCCGTCTACCCTTGGGTCATGACTCAGCATGGCGCTTCCATGGCTTCTCGCCACCACGGTCTTGCTGGCTGCACTGCTGGGTGCCTTGCTGGGCGGACATTTGGCGAGAGAAGCACGGGAGGACCAACGGTTTGGGGTTGGTACCCATGAGCGCATGAGGATTTCAGCATCAAACACGAAGATTTCACCATCAAGAGAGGTTTAACGGTTTAACCGTCAAGCAGTGGGATTTAACATGATTTAACAATTAAACAGTGTAAATTCAGTGTTGATACCTTGTCCATATCCTGGATATGGCTTGGGAAATTCCCAATTTGAATAGGAACATCATCATCATCTACAGATGTTGGGCACAAGCCCCGACCATTTGGATGCGGGGGAGGAACTTCCATGATAGGCTTAGTTTTCTGCCATAAACTTCGATGAATAGTAATCTCCTTCTGATGATTGTATAAGTATAGTTATATGTAATTGTGCATCCAAAACTTTCCATCCTCACCACAGCCGACACATGCTATATTCCTTGGGCCGACCAGGACCTCTTGCGGGACTTGGATGAACTGGAAGTTTCAGCCAAGGCCACGGTGGTAGATAGATGAATGACCCCGGATTTGACACAAACTGGTACTGTTCACATGTTTGAGATCATATATTGTGGTCGTATTTCAACACATTTCCCAGGTGTGGTAAACCCACGTAAACTTAATAATAACCCCCCCAATATTACATGATACATCATGATACTACAGTGATACTACCATAAATGGGTGGGATTGAAACATTCGAAACCATCCCCGAATGATACCCTCTGGTAATTTAACATAACTATGGAAAATCACAATTTTTAATGGGAAAATCCACTATAAATGGCAATTTTCAATAGCTATGTTAAATTACCAGAGGGTATATAATGACACGGAACTTCTTTGCAACTTGGATTTACCACTGGATTTACCACCGGTGGAGCCAGGCCCCAGAAGTTGTCGCTGACACGGAGCGCCGTGCGCAAGTGGCCTACCAACGACTCTTTGGAGACGGACGTGGTTTGGACGGAGGCGCTCCCATGGCATGGCAGCACTTCCATGAGCGTTTCCTGGCCCATGATTTACATGATTTACATGATGCTGATTCAAACATATTTAAACCCAGGCTTACTGTGTTTTCAAGGTTCTGTTGAACCAATTCCGGGATTTTGGCGAAAGTGTGCTGGTTTTTCGACCAAAAAAAAGGAGCGCGCACTGTTGTTTTGATGGCGATGGAGCGAGAGACTGTTGTTTTGACGTATTTTGGGTGTGGAATTGAGGGACAGGGGTAGGATATGGTAGGATTCCCACTGCATCTTGGCTGTGTGGGTCTCAGGTTATATGGCGGCTGCACTTCAAGAGCAAGTCTCCAATTCCTTGAAAGGGAAACACCATTTTCCTGCAATGTTTCCTGGCCTTGGAAGGATCTGGCAAGAGCTGTCTGATGAACGTTGATGAATGTTGAAGATTGTGGGGGCACTGGTGGCCACGTGTTTGTAGTGAAGATGGTGAAGTATGTTTGTTTTAGCGGTAAGGTTGCCTGGGAGCCTTATTGCGGAGGCGTGGATTTTGTCATGCTAATGGTGTGCGATGGATGCGAACCAGTTTTACCCTTCCACGTGTAGTTATTTGGCTAAATCTCTCTTGTATAGCAGGACTGTTTGTTTTCCATATATACGGTGTTGCATGGCCCTAGGTGTCAGAGAATGGACCGTTCCCTTCTGGCAGGAAGTCCGGAAGAAGGATGCTCCAGAGACTCTGGATGGACAGGTTGGCACGTGGCAATATTGAGCTTCTATCAGATTCTATCAGTTTATATCTATGCCAGACTTGGAGTCTTCGCAATTACTTTTCTTGGTGCTTAGTATGCCTCCTACAGCATCATACAGTATCTACAGGTATGCCTTCGTACCTTGCGAGGTGGAGGCACTTTTGGCGCAAAAACGCCAGCACTTGGCAGTAGCACGATTGATGCAGGAAGGCACCTGCACTCTACCAGTGTGTCATTTTCCATCCTTGTTTTTGTTTAGCGACAAGATTCAAATTCAAATCTGTGCCACTAGATGCCATAGTATAGATATATACATATAGTGTATATGTGCAAGCTCTTTGAAGCTCCACTGTTCTGCGGTGATATATGTTATGTTCACTCCAAGACACAACATGTTGGCAACATGTTGCAGCCTCCTTCAACTCGCGCTTAATCAGTATGGCTCTTCTCAGGCAAAGAGCTGCAGTCATTCATCCCTGGCCCAGTTCCTTGTGCTTCGCCTCTTTACGTGCCTGCTCTGCATCGTAGCTCATCGTAGCTTACTCGAAGAGTAGGTTTTCCAGACATTCTCTGACCAAACTCACCACTACTAAGGAACATGTCTACAGCCCAATCGAAGGCTGTAGTGCCAGCAATGCTATGACCAAAGCACCACCCTGCGGACGTTGGGAGAAGGAGAATGTGGCGACCAAAGATGAGGCGCTTGCAACCCAGTCCAATCGTCTCAGAAAGGCAACCCCAATGACAGCGCACAATGTGTAAGTGGAACCTCCCTTGTGGCCCTCAAAAAACGTGTCATGAGCTACCAAAATTGACCAAAGGTGGCTGCCATGCAAACGAACATGCTGAAGGCCTGGACAAGGGACGGGCACCTGGGTTTGTCCTGTTCGATGGGTATCGGTATCTGTGTACGGCTATGCTGTATATTACAAAATGGCAATATTGATGGGGAAAATGATGATTTGGGCAAACCAACATGTTATCAGCACTTGGCAGAGGCCTTTCAGCACCTGTTCCACTCGGGCCCCATGACTTCTTTGGCTGTGGACTCCAGCGCATGGCCGCTGATCTCCAAGACATTGACACAGGAGCTCCTGCCGTTTTTTTTCCCCACTGAGCTGGGAAGATCCATGAATCATATGAAGATTTGAGTCCCAAGCGATTCAAAACTTGGATGGCTTAAGCTGGTTGAAGCAACCAGCAATGAGGATAGAGCCACCATGAGCCAGGCATCTGTAGCAGCTTCTGCGGATGATTCTGGGGTACATATTTTAGATTCTAGATATGTTGAATTTTAAGATGTGCAGTATGTATATATATATATATGTTACAGCATATATTATAAATATCATATTTTAGATCATATTGGAGTTGTTTGTTTTTGCAGCGCGTTGTTTTTGTAACCCTGGGTTTGAAACCACCTGATGGTTTCATCAGGGTCCAATGCCAGGACTTGCTGGAGCGCTCCAGGCAGAAGTTGATTGGTGAATTTCGCTCAGCCGCATTTTGATATGCTAATGGAATAACGATCATATGTAAATCATATTCTGTAAAGACAGGAGTTCATCCAGTTCATATGGATGTGCATGTTTTTGGACCGTTTGAAGTTTCATCATGTTTGATCCAAGATACTGTGATGAGTGATGACTTCCGTGATCTTTTGTGTTTTTTCTGAAGGCAAGCTGTGTCTGATGCTTTGGGTGGAATCGACCTGTTCTTCAGCGGCGCTTTGCTAGTTCGGCTGCAGATCCCTCCCATTGACGGTGCGAAAACTCTAAAATTTCTGTTTGCCATCGGGCCTATTAGGGAATCACACATTGACATCAGACATCATCAGACACATTCGTGGAATGCCACTGACAGTTGGCAGCTAGAGCGAACGCGAACACTGGCCAAGCTCCAAGTAAATATTACTTACTTATACTTAATTCATCTTAATTCTCTCTTTACCTTTTGGTCTTCCCAAAGAACACTGTGAGATTGAAAATGCTGTGCGGTATGTTCAACCATCATTTGTGGTTTTGTAGGTGAGATGCAGCGGAATTCTAGCAGAGGAGACGAGTTTTCGGCACATGTCGACAAGGTTGGGCTGCTTCCAACAATTATGATGGGGCTCGTCATTGCTTAAGTTCATTGAGTTTCCTGATCTAATCATCCTGTCATGATGATTTGTTAATATTACTGGGATGATACATAGATCGAATTATATATAATCATTGAGTTCTCTCTCTCTCTCTCTCCCTGTGTGTCTATGGCAGTCTATGGTCATGTATCATCATGCTACGATATTTATCACCGATCAGTGCCTACCAGCAATCATGATCCAGTTCATGATCCATGATGTCTCGGATGTTTGACCACCAGCAGTCACAGCCTATAGCAGGCCAATGTTGCCTCTTATGACTGGAGTGCCATACTATACCTCAGCACTGTCGGCAAAGACTTCGAAGGCGTGGGCGGGGGAAGTTCTACGGATTTTTTCTGGGCATTCTGGACGTAGAAATCAGAGTTATTAACATATGAAACTTTTAAATAATATGATTGTGAAAACATGTGAACATTTGTGAACTGTATTGGCCAGTATGAATCACAAGTTCAAAGTGCAGCTGTGATGTATGGCTGATACATGCTGATACTGTAGATGGATTCGGTGAATTTGCACGTTTTAAGTGTCATGCCAAGCTGCGATTTCTGCCAAGGTGGTGAGTTGCTGTTTCTAGATGAGCAGAAGGACAGCCAGCTGGAGCCGAAAGAAGGGCAGCTGGTCTTCTTCAGTTCTGGCTTGGAGCCACTCGCCTAAAGATGCCCTTGGTGTGCCTTAGTATACTCTTGGTACAGTAGCTGAAGATTCCCGAAGATATATAGATGAAGATAGCGGAAGGGATGCTGAAGGGTTACTCTGGAAGAAAGGTGGAACAGATGGAAAAGGGTTTACTTGGGATATCTTGAGATTCTTTGTTGCCAAGCAGCTGCCAGATGAAGCGGTTTGCAGTCTCATTCAGGAATGTTCATCGGGTCAGACCCATGGTTCGCGGGCGACGCTTAGTCTTGGCGATGTGGTTCACTTGCAGTCAAAGGCACTGGATCGTTTGCTGCGCTGACTTTGCCGTCATTGTCAGGTCCTTGTGCAGGTGATTTTCTGTGTGCCCAGCAGTGCAGCTTTCCCAACTTGTGTTTTGGGCGCTAGGCATGCGCACCCCGACTTGCACTTCATGGACCGCCAGACAGACAGCTGAAAGGAAAACAGGAGCAGTTGCGTCTGCGGCAGGATCTAGCAGGGCATAGCCGCATGGCTGTACCGATCTGTACCGTCTAGATAGAGGAGCCTTTGGTTTCTGCCTGTGAGACACTGCTGATTGGTTTAAATGATTTAAATGTTTCTGATCATTTTTGGCATCCAGGATTCCAAGGTCCATGCAGATCAGATAACTTACTGTATGTTTGGTATCTCTCATGACATCCCATTCTTGAAGGTCGTGATGGTGCACCTGGAGCTAAAGGTGTGGACATGCTGGGGAACAACGGTTTGCAGTATTGGCCTTCCGACCTCGTTCCGACGGCAGGTGACAGGCCAAAGGGAGAGAAGGGCAAAGGCCGCAAGGGCAAGGGCTGGAAGCTCAGGACACACAGGATATGCAGCTGGTGGATCTGGATATATATAATTATATATATATATTAAAAAAAAAATATATATATATATATTATGACAGTCATGACATCTAAAGACATGTCGTGACAGACATGCGCATTGAGGTCCTGAAGATGGAAAAGGTCTGGAACGAGGGATTGGGAGCTGGTTTTCTGCTGTCAGATTGGGGATATACATGGATAACATACTGAATTACATGTATATAATTTGTACTGTAGTAGATTTGTTTTTCCAAACCAGTAAATGGTGAGTCGAACAATTGTTCACCTCCCAAAGGCAATAGTATGCCAGCTTCATTCATGTCCATTTTTTGAAAATCAACAGTGTCCTTTAATTGGAGAAGATTCAACCCGTCCCCGGCCCTTCCAAAATTCCAGCTTTCCATCGTTTCTGAACGTGCTCGCAGGTGGCAAATCGTGGGGGGCTTACGGCATTCCTTTTGTCCAAGAAATCTTGGGATATTTGGATTGAACTACATGAGGCAGCTACACGTAAAGCCGCCATGCACCGCCACAACTGTCTAGAGTCTAAGCACTCAAAGCATGATTCCGAAATTGACAGCACCCAGGAAGACAAACAGCACTCAAACAATAAGGGGGCTTCTTATGGTTTATCCCTGCCTACATTTTTTGTATGATCCTTTTCGCTCCTTTTCTGATTATTTCTGCATGTGTAGCTCTCCAGCACTGTTCCTTCTGAACTTCAACCCCGGAGCTTTGATCTTCAGCTCAGGTCGGGTGGTATGAATTCAAAGGCACGTGACGTAGACAGGTGTTCTGTTTTACCAAAAGCTGGACTTAAGGATTTTTTACAGGATGCATCGTTTGTACCTCATCTATATATAAATATATTAAATATTATTAAATATTATATAATAATTAGATGCAGCTCCACACGTCACTTTGAAGTTGTTGGCTGTTGGCCAAAAATGGCCTGAGACGTGCTGCACCTGATGTCATGCCAGAGTTCTGTTGCAGGGTGCTGGCCGTGGTGGGTTAGGCTGGTGACTGGTGACTGCAATTGGGATTCTAGACCAGTCCGTGCACATTACGATGTTGTTCCGCATTGGACATATTGAAATTTAAGATGAACCAGAAGATGATCCAGCAAACTTCTGATTGGTTTCTGTGTCATGTGCCCAGCCCTTTGCCACAGGAGCCATTTGGGACATATTGGGACCAGGTCTATGGGTATATGACATCCAGCCATTTAGGCTCAACTGGATTGTCGATGCCAAAAGGTGCCACGGCGCATCGCGGCGCCGTGTAAAAGACGGAGGCCGCTGTTGTGATGCCAAGCACTTGGGCAAAGAAGTCATGGGAAAAATGGGAGAGATATGGACATGGACCACATGGATATCCTTATGAGAAATGGAATTGGTGGGATTCATGGGACGACCCCAGGTCATATGGACAGAAGTCCTGGAACTCGCGGAAAGCGGATTTCCGTGAGAAGCCTCATGATTCCCAGAAAGACTCAGACCAAGCTTGGGCAGAAAAAGATTCAAACAAGCAGGAGAAGCCTGAGAGAATAGATGAGGATGATGCCAGAGATGCAAAAGCTGAGTCTGCCAAAGACTCGGAGGACCCGAAGGTAGGAGAAGAACGCCCTGACAAGCCAGGTACGGATGAAGCTGGTTTTCCAGGTCTCACGGGAAGACGGAAGCTTTCAGGAAAGGGTGAAAAGGGTGAAGCCTCAGATAATTGGCCACCGCAACCTGACTACATGTGTGACCCAGGCTGGTTCGCATGGAATGCAGAGATGGCGTGGGCTTTTGGTGCTGAAGCTTGGCCAGGTGAGTTCCATCCCTGGGACTGGGACGACAAGGAGAAGTCCGGTGAGAACGGCGGTGACGGCACCGGCGGCACCGGTGACGAGACCATGGAGAAGTTGGCCTCGGAATGGGAAAGGCCTGGCTGGCAAGGCCAGCCCGGCTTCGGGAAGAGACATGAGCTTGTGCCCAAGAAGGCAAATCTCAAGGAGCAGTTTGAGAAAGCGGAGTCCAAATCCGTCACAACCCTGATGCTGAGAAATGTACCCAATGCTTATGACCGTGAGACCCTGATGGAAGAACTTGATCATCTTGGGTTTGCAGGATGTTTCAACTTCCTCTACCTTCCAATTGACTCAGCCACAAAGAACAATGTTGGCTATGCTTTTGTGAACTTCAATGATGAGAAGACCGCTGATGATTGTATGAACAACATGAGCGGCTATTTCTTCAAGGGGCAGCCCTACAACAGGAGGAGAGCTGCCATTGTCTCCGTGGCCCACCTGCAAGGCTTAGAAGCCAACTTGGAGCATTACAGTCGAACCCAGGCCTAGAATGAAATCCGATGAAATCGATCCAAATCCTGGAATCATACCGTGGATGATATACAGAGTCTCACAAGTAATGGCTGACATTTTCATGATAAGTTAATCATGTGTTGAGCAATCTCAAGGGGACCAACGAGTCAAATCCCATGGAAGTGCAGAACAAATCTGGCCCATGGAAGTGCAGAACATATCTGGTTCATATATTTGCGATATTTGCACATGAATGCACATTATATGAAACCATTTGAGACAATGATATTCGAGATTCATCTACATTCTATATCTATGATATATAATGATATATATATATACACATATAGTACCATTCTTATATAATTACAATATATATATATGATTATATATGTATACAATGTGTACCGAAGTGTGCTGCTGCACAAGATGACTGGTTGGTGGTTTCAATGATGTTTAAATCATGTTATAGTTAAATAATGTTATAGTTCTCCCAATGGCAAGATGCATCCCAAAAACCAACAATAATTCAACTGATACTTCCCAATCACAAGCCCTTGTTGGCCTTGATCCCTTCTTTGTTTTGGATCCCTTGGATCCCTTGGATCCCTTGGATCCCTTGGATCCCTTGGATCCCTCACCCCGTCCTGGCGCGCCCTTTGGCGCCAGGTCTTCTTCGCCCCTCTGCCGTGTCAACGGCCGTGGGTTGCGCCAGCGGCAGCCCAGGCCCTGCTGGAGAAAGGCGAAGCCGCCTGGGCTCCCCTGGGCTTTGCCAAACTGGTGGAGGATGCAGCAGTGCGTCCCGGGACTGAACAGGACTGGGATGAACATTTGCTGCAACAAAGATGGATCACTATGGATTATATACTGTAATATATTGTAATATTATATATTGTATAATTTTAGTAATTTTAATTCACATCATAGATGATAAGATAATAAGTAGATGGATGCATTTTTATATGGATTAGATGGTACTTAGATGACAAGTAAATGATGATAATAGCATCATTGTACAGTTTGAGGTTTGTTTTTTTTCTATATGTGTCTGTCAAAAATGAACTTCAAATCGCAAAAACCTGGATTTTCCATTCATATTCTATATATCATATATGTATAACATATACATCTAATGATCGATGGTAACGGCATCATTGCAGTGTATGGGCAGGAATAAGATGGAATAAGTATATTTGAGATGATGATCCCTAAGTAGTTTTCGTACTTTTGGGGGTGACTGCGTTTCAACTGGAGGATGATCAATCCTTCTCTCGGCGACGCATGCGAGAGCAATGGTGGGGAGCTTTCCCCGGATGTTTCGATTGCTCCTATGAGATGTATGGATACTTTGACAATTTCGATGGCGTCCCTCCGGGCTTGATGCCTGAGAACTTGAGTCTCACTCAATACCACCATCCCGGGCAGGTCTTGAGGGAAGAGCTGACTGCTCCGGAGGCTGAAAGTAAAGAAGACAAGGCGGGCGATCTCGTGGATGCCTTGTCACAGATGCTACGGACAGGCAGTCAGCAGGTGCCAGTGGATGATGAAGAGGAGGGAGAGCTAACAATGATGGGAGAGCTGAAACAGATGCAATCCATGGGATGGTTTGGCTGGGAATTCTTCGATGGCATGGAACGGAGTTGCTCACTTAGTGCTGTGAACAGCTCAGGGATGAGCGCACCCAGCTATGATGATCAGAGCCCATCCCTTACCAATGGCTCCCTGGTTTTGCTCAATGTGCCCTTGACTACGACAGAGTGGGATTTGCGGCAGATCATTGAACATGTTGGTGTTCATGCACCCATTACCGTCAAGTTTGAGCCAGGGGCATCCTCAGATATCAACAAGGTGACCTTGCACTTCAGAAACAAGATTGACCTGGAGATTGCAGATGTCACTTTGAGAGAGACTTCCTGGGAGGATGGTGGAGCGCGCATACAGATTTATCGCTCCGAAAATGGTGATGGATGTGATGGGACATGGGCTGGCTATCCGGCCATCCCAGCCATGCCTCCATGGGATTACGGCCATAGCAGATCCTGGTTCTCCAAAGAGGATGGTGACAGTGAGCCGCGATCAAATTCATTGGCCAATGCTGTGGGCATTGGGAATGACGACTCTTCCTCTCCGTGCCCACCAGAGCCAAGCTTTGAGCAGGGCACAGAATTTGAGAAAGACTGGCCAAAGCTTCCTGCAGCGCGTAACAAAATCGCAGACGTACAAGCGAGCCAAGCTGCCTCGTGCGCATGATCAGTTCAGACTGACGTGCAAACGGGAATAAACTCCCTTCAACTTAATGTATGTCAGTGTTGTGAAACATGATACGGGTTTGGGACAGTATATATATATATATGTATATTGTTTCTGTAGCACACCAACTGTAGCATGCAGACTCAGCTGTTTTCGAGCATAGCAACTTGTATATACAGTTTCACTTGTACGCCTTTCCTGAGGATGGGGTGGATGTGGATTTGGATCTGCTGTGTGAAGCATAGCTAGGTTATGTTTGGTTCTGTTTTGGTGGCCATGGTGGGCTCTCTTCATGTCTCCTTCACCCTCAGGCGATGCCTTTTTTTCTCGTGCCCAGCACTGTCTCCAACCGGGGACAGATGGATAGTTCAGCCCAGTTGAAGCAGCTGACGAGGTGTGCCAAATGTGTCCAAATATGTAGGCGATCCAGGAACCGGGAACCAGCGACTCATGCTTCTTTTGCGCCACTGGGGACACTCCCTGGATAATGAGCATTAAGAGACCTTCAAGCCCAATTTTTTACAACGTATCCATTATACTCATACCTATAATTAATTATATAAGTATATGTATATGCTACCAATGGACCAAGATGATCAAGTATCACCTCGTTGAGCTGCTGACTTAAGCGGACGGCTTAGCCTGCCACTCTTGGAAAAAAGAGGGCTGCCACCAGCGCGATTGAACCATGGGATTGGTCGGGCATGGTATGGCCGGTGCCGGTGGTGTGTTGTGGGGCGGTTGGAGTTGCCGCTGCCGCCAGACCGCGATGGTGGAAAGGGGCGCGGGAAGTCATTGCCCGGAGGTGCAGAGCTTAAGTGTTTCTCTGAGAGAATCCCCACAAAAGTCACAAAACATCCAAAATAACAAGCACTTTCCGGGAACGTCAACTGTTGTGTGAAGCAGATCTTGCCTTTCCAGTTGGATGTTTTAGACGGAATACGCAGCTACTCGTGACTTGAGACTTGGAAGATCTTGGAAGATTGGCACGAGGTCCATCAGATCGCACTGGTGTAGCTGGTCCAGGAGGCCGCAAACTCCGGCGACACATGGCCGTTATTTTGCTTTCAGTTGCCTGATTGATGATTAGTATGGAACATGATGGACATGTACGGACATGTTTTAATTTTTCATTTTGTAATTTTCCATCAGGAGGTATAATTGGCATTGATTGGCTGCTGCAAGGATTGTTTTTGCAAGCCAGCTATGTAGCTATGTAAGATCTGCAGCGTCAGTGTTTTAATCGCAATGGTCCCAAGAGACTCAGAGTCTTGAGCAAACCTTGGTTTAGCCAGGTATGCCTGGACAAGCGCAGTTGGGCGAACTCAGAGACTGGAAGGGATCAAATTTATCCTGAATCAAATGCTGGATCATTATGGATCATTGATGGATCATTAATGGATCATTATCATTATAATCATGGAATATCATGGATCATCATTGATCACCGTGTATCCACCTGCAGTTGGCCAAAGATGCCATTTGGTCCACCTCCGGTTGACCATGGTTGACCATGGTTGACCACTGAGGCCGGCGCAAAAAGGTGGCTCCCCGATGCCCAGTCAGCAGGCGATCTGATAGATCTGATGTCGGACCCCCTAAACGAACAAGTCGTGTCGTTTCCAGTGTCGTTTCCCAAATTTATCTCCTGCAGGTTCCTCAACAACAGCTTCAACCACAACTGGGCATGGGAGGAGGTGCATGAAACAAGTTGACGCGGTCTGACGGTCTGACGCTGCAGTTTGATTGGAAACCATTGGAAGCAGGAAATGAACAATTGGCCACAGGTGAATAAGTCAGCGATGGTCAGTGTATGCAGTCTGGGCTTGTCCACCTGAGCATACTCCATAAAACATCATGAAACCACAATTTTCATTGTGAAAATTATGATAAACATTGATGATATTGATGAACATTTATAAGCCACAATTGGAATTTCCTGCCTCTTAGGCAGTGCTTTGGGGCTTTGGACATTTTCCATCGCAGAGCGTGATGCATTGTGCCGAATTTGGGCATGCTACGGCTGCTACGGCATTCTTTGAACAATCAGAAGCTCTTTGGGTTCAGATCAAGCAGAGAGACTGCAGCACACTGACCTCACTGATGAACGGTACAGCTATCGCATGGTGTCGCAACCAAGAAAATCCAACAAGAAGCAGCCCTCAGATATTCATGAGCAATCCATTCAATCAACTCATCACATCACTTGACAGCCGCATGGAGTGTGTAGATCACTTGGCACTAGGAACTTCAAGAGCTTCGGGGCCTTACTTTGTACGCTGAGCGACTTGATGAGTGATGCTGCCTTTCCCGGTGTGTATTTTGTTGCATTTATATAGATAGTATATATATAATATTACTAGTAGTACCGCACAAGGCGGTGGCGGAAGTTTCAAAAATAGGAAACCTATAGGAGAGGTTGGTTGTTGTGAATCACGGATGGCAGAGCAAATCCACTGATGGACCGAAAGTCGGTTGGAGTTGTGTTTTCTGGAGTGGCTGCAATGGTTGCAGTGGTCACCTCACCACAACTGCTGGATGTAGTGTGGTGTAGTGCAGTTGTAGCTGTAGTTGTAGGTGTAGTTGCAGTTGTAGTTGTAGTGTAGTGGAGTTGTAGTGTTAAGTGGTAGTTGTAATGTAGTGTAATTAATTAGTTTAGTGTAGTTTCAGTTGTTGTTGTTGTGGTTTGGTGTAATTAGCGTAGTGTATTGTAGTGTGCTGTAGTGTTGTGTACTGTAGCGTGGTATGGTGTAGTGTAGTCTAGCGTACTGTAGTGTAAAGTAGTGTAGTTGTAGTTGTAGCGCCGTGTCGTGTAGCTGTAGTGTAATGTAATGTAGTTAGTGTAGTGTGTTTCTTGTGTACTGTAGTGTAGTTGCAGTTGGAGCTGTAATGTGCTGCAGTTTAATTAGTGTATTGTAGTGCAATGTAGTGTAGCTGTAATTGTAGTTGTAGCTGTGGTGGTGGTGGTGGTGGTGGTAGTAGTAGTAGTTGCTGTTGTAGTAGTTGTAGTGTAATTTGTGTAGTGTAGAGTAATTAGATGTAATTAGTGTAGCGTAGTGTAATTAGTGTTGTGTAATGTAGCGTAGTATGTTTGTAGTTGAATTTTCGAAGTTGACAACATCAAAAACGAAGCAATCCTGCGATACTTCTTCAGTGTTTGAACTTAACAACGTCAAAAACGAAGCAATTCTGCGAGACTTCCTCAATTTTCGAAGTTGACAACATCAAAAACGAAGTAATTTTGCGAGACTTCCTTCAAAAATGGAAAGTTGCATGCAGCGCTGACGGCCTCGTACCAATGCGTTTTGCGATTTTCCCAATCCATTTGTCTAAACTACTGCGCCTGCCACGAAAAAGTGATGCCAGGTCATACGAACTGCTGCACTTGTCATGCAAAATCATCTCAGCAAACCTGAAGATCTGAGGCTCCAAAATGCAACCCTTCTCAGGAAATCACCGCCCGCACCTCCTAACAGCTCTGATGAAGATGTCTCTTGTACTGCGCCTGCCACGGAAAATGCATCTTTGCAGATCCTCTTCAAATGTCCCACGCCTGCCATCGTTTTTGGAAATGCCACAAAGCCCTCATGTTTTGCTCAATTTTGACAAGGTTCACAATCCCTTGCGCCTCCCATGCGAAAGCACATCTGAACCTCCAAAAGTGGTCCGAACCCCTGGTGTTTTTAACATTGTGACTTCGAAATGTGCTTCGCGCGACAACGGCGTGCACTTTTTCGACATCTCAACTTCCATCAACTTCCAACAGTGGTCCGAACGTGAGGTGTTTAGCTTTTTCACTTGCAAATGTACTTCGCGCCACAACGGCGTGCACTTTTTCGACACCTCAACTTCCAAAAGTGGTCCGGTGTTTTTTGTACATTTTGACTTCGAAATGTGCTTCGCGCCACAACGACGTGCAATTTTTCATCTCTCATTTGGCCAGATGGCTCCGCACCCGCCGCTTTAGCCTACTTTTCGACCTTCCGGAGCCACAAACCATCGGAAAAACGCACTGTTTCGCGACTTCCCTACCTTTTCGCGCACCTGCACCTTCTTTCTTCTGACTCTTTCTCTTCTCTGATTTTCTCTCTTCTACTCTTCTCTCTTCTGCTCTTCTCTGCTCAATTCTGCTCTCTGACTCTTCCCATCTCTGCTTTTCATCTGTCCATATTGTCGGAAGTTTGACTTCTATCTAAACTTCCTTCGATAAAATAATATATATATATACATATATACATATATACATACATACATACATACATACATACATACATATATATATATGGCTGTGTCTTTTTTTTACGGGTGCAGTTTTTAGTAAAGGTAGGAAGTTCGATTTGTGTGAATCATACCCCCGAATCATACCCCGAATCATACCCCCGAATCATACCCCAAAAAATCATTATTATGGATGTTTCTTTTGGGATCGTTTGGGATTGCATTGGCCTCACCTGTTATAATGAACCTGACAAGCTAATTGACCAGTGTTGGCCAGACCCGATGATCCCTGGCTACCTTCACATACCTTCACGGAGTGGCGAATCTTCTCCACGCGCACAGAGTCTCATCATTATCCCTAAGCTGGCTGGCTCTGGGTGGCGGTATAGGGCTGGCTAGTTGCAGCTGGCTGGCTGCGTGCCTGGCTGCTTGCTGTGTTGCTGATGAGGGTGATGAGCGGGATGACTCTGTGTGCGGCTGGCTGGCTGGCTAGCCTGGCTGGCTGGCTGGCAACCAAACCAAAAATCCGTCGAAGAGGAACATAAGCCTAAGCGTAGCTGAACTAAAGGTACATGAGAAGAACATCCAGAAGAGACGCCGGCAGGCCGCGGATATAAATCATAGATGTGTATTTAAATCTTCACATTCTTCATATTCAGGTCCTGTCCAAGGTCGCCTGGCAGGTCGAGCCATTGCAGCCATTGAGTAGCAATCGTAGTAGGTTCACGGTGGGAAAAAGAGACTCAAGCAACAAAGCTTCCTGAATTCAAAAAAAGAGGGGTTTCCGAATCATACCCCGAATCATGCCCGAATCATACCCGAATCATACCCCAAACTTCCCAATTCTGAACCTTGGTACATTTGCAAGATCAGAACTTGTGTTTTGTGAGCTCTTTTCTTTGTAACCATTCGCCACGGGCTAGACTACGCCTCCTGCTGCTTCTGAGAAAAATCCGACAACAGCACCCTGCAGCTCCTGCAATGGCACCAACATGCCAACTCCAAAGCGCACACACACCACTTTAACTGCAGCACCTTGAAGCAGCACCCTGCAGCGGCACCACCAGCTAGCTCCAGAGGGGACACGCCACTCTAACAGCTGCACCCTGCAGCGTGCAGCAGCGCCCTTCACATAGCACCCTTGCAGCACGAGTTGGGTACAGTACTTACCCTCCTTGCAGCACCCTGAAGCATCACCCCTTGCAGCAGCACCAGCAAGCTAGCTCGACAGCACCCTCAAGCAGCACCTTCCACCGGCATCCGCTCACCAGCATGCCCGCTCCAAAGCAGGGTTTACAGCACACACCACTCTGACAGCAAGCAACACCCCGCACCAGCACCTTGCAGCGGCACTCCAACGGCACCACGATGCCCGCTCCAAAGCGCGCACACCACTCTGACAGCAGCACGCACAGCGTCAACAGCATGCCAGCTCCAGAGCGCTCCACGTATGGTATAATTACCAACAGTTGAAACATTTTCGGGGTAAGTGTGGGTAAATAACTATACGCGGAGGATGCAGGGAAACACTAAATCAAGGTCCGCGAATCATACCCACGAATCATACCCCGAATCATACCCACGAATTATACCCCCTAGTCAAACTTCCCGGGCCGCACTCCTCATTTTGAGACATACCCATATATATATATGTGTGTGTGTGCATATATGTGATGATGCAGGATTTGCAGGTCCAAATTGATATGTGGGAACTCCAAGCTCGGGTGCTCCGGATTCGATTCATCGAATTTCTGGCTGAGCTGCCAAGGTGCCATGTCCCGCCGTGGTGCCGTGCAGCGGTCGCCCACCTTCTTTGTGGGGGCTGTGCCTTGGCCTTGGGAAACCATGACGGGCCAAAGCTGGGACCATTAACCATGCTGTTGAATCTAAACCCAATAATAAACCTACCATATACCTACCATTTGGTGATGGTTGATCGTTTATAGTTTTTACTTTTGGGGATGGTTTATTGTTGGGTTTACCACATTATGGGATTGGTGTTGCCAGGCGATTGCTTTCACTCTGTCCCTCCATGATATATTTATAATACTGCTGCTAGTGTTACTTACTACTTGAGACATGGACAATTACTGACTTTGCCATGCTTCCCTCAGAATGCTTGAGCTGAAATTTGTGTTCATGCTGATCCCTACCCGCTTCAAGTTGTGGCCTATGATATCCATTCCCCGCTTGCATTTGCTTGCCAACAGCGCTCAGAGACAAGATATAAATTTTGACGAGAAACCAAGTGCTTCAGGTGAGCCGGGAGGTTCAACAAACATGTTGGGTCATATCATACTCTCAAGATGTAGCAGTGCTTGCAAACGGGGCAAGCTTGGGCCAGGGTTCCTTGCCAGTTGCGACAGGAGAAGCAGAAGAAGGATTTAGACGCCTTTCAGCGGCGAGAGCAGCAGCTTGCGGAGGTGTACTACAAAAACAAACCTCTTTGCTACTCAGCTCATTGTGCCGAAGCTGTTGAACTCCATTGATGTTTAATGATATGACTACAACGACTTATTGTGGCTGTTTGGAGAGATGCCGGGGGAACAAGAACATTCAAATTGATGTTTTACGGTCCAGCTTGTAGCCGCAGCTTCTTTGTTGGGCCCACCATGGGCCCACCATGGGCCCATGGGCCACGTGCCCACCTGCAAGGCTTCAATGCGTGCACCTACCAGAGAACCCACCCTGTCAAAGCAAACTCTGGTCATCGTGATGCGGACGCAACGCTGGTGTCACCCATGGCAGTGACTTTGCGAAGCAAACAGTAGGACTCCGTGAGCACGCTCATTGGTGCTTGCAGTTTTATACCTGATCGATCTCTAAATTGATCCGAATTCTTCCCAGTTGTTTTGGGCGCCTTTGAATATGGATGCATCTGCATTTGATACAAAAATACCAAAAATGGAAGCTGGAGACACACCTTTTGCTTATACAGGAGCGTTCATATTGTGGCAATCAGTTGCTGCTTCCCTGTCTTCTGGTCATCTGGAGGGATGTTGAACTGAACCGTCAATTCTTGGTTCAATTTTCCCAGAAATTCTATGAAATTCTGAGGTGGGCGTAGCAGATGGAGTATCTCAGATTGAGGAGTATGGCATTGACTCCTCCGAATTGTTTTGTGGCAGCAATGGGCAATTTGGCAGTGTGTCCCTTATTTTTTTTTCCATCCTTCCCCTTCAGAAAACTTGCATTTTCGGATTTATATCGATCGTCGATCATTATTTCATTGCAGTTTTCAGATTTCTAATTTTCTATCCATTTTGATTTGTTAGCTATAACCCGGGGAGTCGACCAAACAAAATTGAGTTTTTCCTGAGCGCCTAAAACTTTGGGGTGAAGGCCTGAACTTTGACGTTCTGGTATGTCTTTGTGGCTCAGGTGGATCTGTGTGGGGAAGATTTGATATCCCTATCAACTATAAATAAAGATATTATATAATGATAACAATAATACTAGATAAATAAATATTGTATATACGTATGTATATATATATATATAATTATACCTCCAGCCGCCCAAGAGGTTTATCATATCACCAACTCTCTAAGGTTTGTTTGGGGCTTGTTTAGGCTTATCTAGGGTTTCAGTTATATATATATGTGGTTTTAGGGTTTTTAAACAATTGTTTAACGCGAATTTTACCTACGTATATATATATAATATAAATATACATAATATATATATACAATATAAATATAATATATATATATATAAATATATATATATATATTTATTATAGGTCTGTGTGTGTGATATGGGTGTGTAAACTAAACCCTGCCTTGGTTCAAGATGGCAACACAACCCCCACTCCAGGCCTACGGAGTTGCTACGTCAGTGTGAGGAGCTGGCTTTTGATCAGCTGCTACCGCGGAGTCGTGCCATTGCAACGTGGCATTTTTCGGAGCTGATGAGAATGGTTAGAAGAGGTTCAGTCTAATTGCATGATGGGACAAATCTGCCAAACCCCATCAAATTTGGTAAGAACCATGTTTTTCCTTTATATAGATGCCCTTAAACCAATCCAAAGATTCAGTTCTGTTCAGTTCACCCGGATGAGAATCATTGATGGTCATGAGTCATTGTGGGTTGGCAGAAATTATCGGAATCAAGGCATGGTGTCACTTTTCTGTCCTTACAGCTTTTGCGAGTTCCATCTTGCCATTGACTATGCACGTAATGAATTTGTTGATATGGTCGTTTGCTGTGTGTACTTGTTTTGCGCTCGTTTTTCGTAAGAAACTGATTTTATCTTGCACGTCTTTTTTACTAAATGTCTCAGCAAGTACTCAAGCCAAGTTACATGCTGCAATAGCATGTGGTATTGACATTCAGGTGGCTCCCAATGTAATGTATTGGGCACCTCATGTCAGCAACTTTTGACGGAGTGGTGATTTTCATGTTCTCATCTTCATCAGTCTATGTCCTGACACTTTCCATTTCAGCTGAGCATTGCGTGGAAGCAGACCTGAGGCACCATATCATGGCCCAATACCATTGGTACGAGAGGCTTTTTGTGGGACAGAGCAGCTTGGCTGACCGTTGACCAACGGCATGCTACGGCGCGCTACGGCTGCTAGCCGCTAGCGACTCCGCCCAGGTGTCTCGGGTCAACGACTTTGGTATTGGCAGCTTGGATCACCAGCCCTTAGTGGCAAGGGATTATGGAAGTTCCAGCCTGTGTTGACCTAAAAATCCTAAGATCTAAAGGGATCCAATAAGAATTTGGTTAAAGTGAACATGATGCATGGTATAACATGGTAAAACAATTAGCAAAAACAGATGTAAACAGTCCATGTTGGACCGATCATCACGCAGAAATGCAAAGGAGATGTAAGTTGATGCAAGTTGGCAGATGTTTGTGGCCTGGATGGCCCGGAAGATCCAGGGTTCCAGCGTTCTGAGGCCCTCCTGGACAATTCGACGCGCATCCACGGTAAGTTGCATCCGATGATTGCTGTCACTTGGTATCTCCTGGTGCGGGGCGAGGGGTTGTGAGGTTGTGAGGGTGGCACCTGGCAGCAGCAAATCAGTAACTGGTGATGATGTTTCCCTTCTCGACTGACCTGTTCACTGGTGGCAAAAACAAGGGCTCTATTTGACACCACTTGTCTTCACTTATCATCACTTATCCACCTGTCCTTCGTCAAGCATTAGTCACTGCTGAGGTGATCTCCATCGGAGATTGCGAGCTGGTGATTTTGTGGCTTGGGCTATTTCTAAAAAAGGTCTTTGAGACGATTCCCAAAGAAAATTGCCTTACCTTGAATATATACTTGAAGATCATCTAAATCTAAATGTCTCAGACGGTGATTTTGATGGAAGTGTTTGGATTTCTCAGATTTGGACGAAACGCCCTATAAATAGACGAAGAAATAGATACAAAGAAATACAGAAGTAAGTGTATGTGTATATATATATTTAACTAGCCTGATCCAAGTTAATCCTTAATGATTACCCGGTTTACGGATTAGCGGTTTACGGATTAGCCCGCGGTGGCGGAAGTTTCCCTTACAGAACAAAAAACCGCCAGCCCCAAACAAAGGGAGCGGAGGAAGGAAGCGCAAAGAGCAAAGCACATTGGTAACACAAAGCTCTGGCCAAGCACCGCTGGAAACGCAACACTTTGGTCGCACCACCGCCTTGCAGAATGGACCCGGCAGGGATTCGAGCCGCTGACCTTTGCCACATCTCACTCGTCTGCCTGGCTACGATGCATAATGCCGACGTATTAACTACTAGACTACGGGGCCCACTACTTCTAGTACAGCGCCGGGCTCCAAATTGCTAATCGTGGCCCCCCGGGGGCGGAGAAGAAAGATGTAAGCACTGTGGCGCTGACGGTGCTGGTTGGCTGCTGCTGCTGGGTGCTCTGCTGGCTGCTTGGTTCTGGTTCCTGGGTTCTGGTTCCTGGTGGCTGGCCTGCTGCTCGGCTCTGCTGGGTTCCGGGGACAAGGAAAGGGACAGGGAAAGGGAGGCAGCCGTCCTATCTATGCTTTAAACCGGATTACAGATTAGGTCTCGGATTACGGATTCGACTCTTTGGGGCTTCTGAGACGGATTCCGGGATTACGGATTAAGGTAAGGCCCGCGAGCATTTGGTACAGCTTAGTTTAATGTAAGTGATAGTAAATGAATAGTAAATGCGTACCAAAACATAAATGCATATAAACGATGATAGATACTAAGAATCAGATGGCTCATGCCAATGCCGTCCAATGCCATCCAATGCCATCCAATGCCTTTTTTGTTCATCTCCATGGCACTGGGACTGGGACCCAGGCGTCGGTTGCAGGGCCGTTCTGGGCCACTGGAACTCGTCTTCCACACTGAGATGCAACGGGTGGATGGTCATTGCCAGACACCGTTGCAGCGCCTTGGACGTGTTTTTCAATGATTTACCCTTCAGTATCTTTCAGTAATCCAACCTGGCAGCGGACAGGGACAGTTGTTTAGATCCAGTTACTTCGATGATCAGATTAAAAGCTTCATATTCAGAATATTTCAGAATTATCCATAGGGGAGTTCCCAGCCATGTTTGATGATTATTCAATGGCTGTAATTGGCTGTATCACCTAGGACCTATAGGCTTCCCTGTGTTTTCCGCTTCACCGGTGACCCGTGCTTTTCCAAGGCTTGCGCGGGTGGATGATCGGATCGATGCAGCCTTTGATGTGACTTGGGTCTATTTTGCTTGTGCAGCTGGTATTTCCATGAAAAGGGTCACAAATAGATGACCTATGGAGACCTATGGATACCTATGTTGCTGTGTCCAGCAAAGGATAACATCACCGTCGAAGTGATTGAGCGGGGCAGCGCTGTGCATTGTATCTCTGCATATGTTGCATGGCTGCAGCGACATCAACGATCTAGTGCAAGATTCTTCAATGAATTCATTGAGTGTTCATTCGGCCTCATTGGCTCTGACACATACTTGTGCACATCTTAGGCATTTTTAGGCCATATCATGTCAACATCATGTTCGCTCTGTCCTTCACCAAGGAAGGCGACATTGTGATAGTTGGTTCAGACGGTGTTTTTGACAACCTCTACTTAGCTGCCTGGCTTGTAGACCGATTAGCCGTCATTCAGCTGGTTCATGCAGCGCACATGGCAGCTTGGTAGACATATGAATCCACCTTTGCTTGCACAATGATGTGCAGGATGGTCCTATGCACATCGATTGATGTGGTATAATTATACTGCGTCATCAATATTAACTTTACAATACAACGCACACACGGACACATTTATAATATACATATAGATTATTATGCCGTATGCCTCCTCTATTACACACATGTATCATGTATATTTGTATTGTGCATTTTATTTATGTGTGATATCACCAGCGGCACTGAGGATGAAGTCGCTGCGATTGCAAACAAAGTGTTACCTCCATCCGGAGCTTCGCCACTTGTCCTCCAGAGAGTCGACCAGTGACCCACTGCAAGCATAGGATAGTAAGTATAATATACTATGGTATAATATGTATATATATATAACATAATTATTAATATATCTATTTTTTCTTTATTTCTTTCTTTCTTTCTTTATTTCTGTCTCTCTTTCTTTATTTCTTTCTTATCTATTTTTTCTATCTTATCTATCTTATCCATCTTATCTATCTTATCCATCTTATCTATCTATCTATCTATCTGTCTATCTATCCATCTATCTATCTATCCATCTATCTATCTATCTATCTATTATCTATCTATCTATCTATCTATCTATCTATCTATCTATCTCAATACTACACAAGCCCAGATGCATATACATGCATGTAGAGAGAGAGGGGGACAGATATTTATATATATATACACATAGATGTGAGATCTGAGTTGTGCAGACTCTGCGTGTAAATGTGTAAATATGATGTCACGTATTTTTTTGGCACTTCAACGTCTCAAGATTGAGGCGGCCGACACAATCATCACTTCTGACCAACTTGTCCAAACGGATTGTGGAGGCAGCGATGGAAATGTCATTGGAATGTTACATGTAAAAAAAAACATGGCAATCAGTTTCAATCAGTCAGTGCTGGCTGGGATGAAACTAATTGTTCGGCACATTTTTACATGACTTGCCGCTATTTCGGATCACTGCTTCCGTTGTCTTGGCGCCCTGTAGCTTTTAAAGACAGCATGCTAATTGAAAACTGCACACGGCTGCAAATCTATGCAAAATCTATCAAAATCACTAGGATGAATGTGTTCAGAATTCCATGAGGCAGTGGTATGGCGGTATGGGAATCATATTGGAATCATTGTCAAAGGATTTTGCTGCTTGCCATCCACGTGAGGCGGCGCATCAGAAGACCAAGCCGACCGTGGGCGGTTTCCTGCCGGAAGCTCCGAAGCCTGGTGGATTCATCAGATGTCGGTGTGGTCGTTGTGGTCGTTGTGGGGGCCGGGCCAAAGGAAGCACCTCCATAATAATATCTGGTTGGTGGTTTCAAACATGTTTATGTTCCATAATATATATTAATATATGGGATAATCCTTCCCAATGACTCATATTTTTCAAGATGGTTAAAACCACCAACCAGATATTGATACTATACTACTGTATATTATGATCACTGTCAGGAATTATGCTGGCACTCCCCTTCTTTGACATATTTGGGTGTTGCCTTCAGTGTGTACGCACATCATAACATGCTTCCCAGAAAGTGTTCCCATAGAGTAGTCGGTCAAAGATGGCTACATTTTGTGCACTGACGAGACTAAGGATTGGTCGGGGTGGGAAAATGGATGACACCTCCTGTGTGGTGGCTGAGATCATTGAGTGGACAGTGTCTCTGACGCATTCGACGCTTTCTGCTTTAACAACATCAACCCAAGCGGACAAACGTGGCCCAGGGAAAGGCAGGTCTAGACTTGGCAGATATGAAAGCATAGGAAGCCGAAAATCCCTACATATAACGATTATTTGTTTTGATATGAAAGGTGAACTTATGATAACTTATGTACTGTTCTTATCTTTTCTTGCTTGTTGGATTTGTTGGGGCGGTGGGCGAAGCCAAGCAGCCTCCGCCCCAGGAAGCGCATCAGAAGCTCTATGCGCGGGAGGAGGTCTACCCCAAATGGTCCAATTTTTGGCATTGTCAAGTGGGTTGTGATGGAGATGAGAATGAGTTCCTTGGCTGCCATTAATATATAATCATTTGCTACAGTCAGGTAATGTACTCCATTTCCCAGGCTGTACTCACATCTTTGATTTCTTTATGCAATGTTGGCCTTTGGGTGTCGCGGCACCATCATCAATGTGATCGAGGTTGCAGGAATACGATGGAGAAATGACCCCGCCGGGCTTTCGAAAAAAGGGCAGACGCTCCTTGGCTGACCAGTTGGCCCCATCGATCTTCAGGGGATAAAGCTGAAGCATGCTGAACGTGGCACTTGATAGATTGATTTTTTACCCAGGAAATCCACGAGAAATCATGGTGGGCGATTTCTCAAGCAAAGCACAGTTCAGAACTGCCATTTTGAACGTGGTGTCCATTTTGGCATTTTGATGGGGCTTGTCCCACGAAGATGGCCAATTTTGACTGGAAAAGATGATTGATATGATGATATGATTGCAATATATTGCAATCCATTCGAGTTAGGGCTATCCGATCTATCCCATGAGAGTTCCAAAATTCACAGGATGACGGGGCCATTTTTCAGGGCCATGATGCTGCCATCATCTGCAGGTGACGAGATGTTTTGCTCCATCAGCTGAGTCGCCCAGCATCTTAGCATGTCTTAGTCGCCAATACCAGCAGTTGATATCGGGTGGCACTCTCCAGCAATGGACAAACAACCGATTTGCATAATGTTACATAATTTTCTTAGGAAACCTATGAGTTTTCATGTCTACAATTAATATCTCGGAAGACAGTAAAGTTTAAAGTGCGCATTGCTGTATCAAACAGACATGTTTCAATTGATTTGGATTGACTGCTTATCAGAATTTATCAGATATCTATGTGTTTTGTTCCTTTTTGGTTTGCCAATGTTCAGCGTTCCTTGGAGTTCCTTGATCGACATCCCAGGACATCAGCTACCATTTGCCGGTCCTTGAATTTGAGCGCTAGCACGACGCTTGCTGGCCGTTGACCCCTTGCAATTGTCAGGGTCATGACTTGTTGCTGTCCATCCAGAAACCTGGGTTTACCTATGGTTACCTGGGTTGCTGTTGAGGTTAAACATTTAGGAGGACAGGACTTGGCCGAGTAATGTTCTCGATTCAGTCCACACCAGGTTTTTTTCCAATGACCTTGTAGAATGCCTTTAGAATGACATGTGTTAGCCAAGCTGTTTTCACCATCTATATTTGCTGGTGTTGCTAATGGTGCGTGCCTGTGTTTATTCCTATGCGTGATTGTGGCGCTGACATGTTATGGTGGGAACCTGACACAGGAAGCAATTGACATGGGCGGCTGTGCAATGTGCCCTGTTTCAGACAAATTCGCCCCTCTGTATGCACTGGCTAGGGCTGCCAAATTCTTGGGATAATAGACGAGCCTGCCATGTTTGGACAGCAGCATGCATCTAATAGTTCCCAAGCAGAGGCTTGACATGGGTTGCTCTGCTGAAGTTTCTGATCATTAGAAGAGGCTAAGCACCAGGCTCAGCTTGGGCGAGGCTACAGGATATGTGGCAATACAAACGTGACGATGTACTGTAGCTGTAGGCATTTGTAGGCCCTATGGCCCTATATAGCCGGATTTGCTGTATCTTCTCTTCAAGCTCTTCAGACTCTTCAGTCCATGAGCATCGCATAGCAAATCTCCGCGGCTCAGCGTGCCAGTATAGAGCTGGTGGTGAAATTTGCATTCCTTTTTGGAGAGCATGCAAGTTGCCTCCATCAAGCACTGACGATTCTTGATGGAGGCTTCATTTAGAGCCATGAATCGACCGTAATTTCTTGGCGACCATCGCACGAATGAAGTGCGAGTACCAATGCGTAGGGTAGGACGTCGGCGAAAAACAAATGTGCTGAGAGATACAGACGTTGCAGATATGAGCTTGCAAAGCCACGGCAAAAGTGCCCTTGAACTTGGATGGCATGGATATAAATATTTGCTACCCCCCCCAAGACCTACATTTTGTGTATTTTATAGATATGTCCTTGAATGCCTTGTCTTCCTTCTTATCTTCTCACCTATTGTAGCACTGCATCAAGAAAGTATCTTGGGCGCATGCGCCTGGACACATCCTGCCCAGATATGTAGCTGCAGCATAGTGCTGTAACATCTACATTTTACATATGTATTTATTTCACTATATTAATATGTATACAATGTTTTTAATGTTTTCAGACATTTTTTATATATCAGCACGAATTTTATATCTATGAACAAAAGAAAGCAAGTCTGCTTTTTCAATATCTTCTACAACATCTTGTTATTTTTACATAATCTTTAGGATTTGCAGCAGTATGATTAGGGGAATAGATGGATTGAAATTGTGTTATCTGTTTTTTTTTACAGCGTATAGCATATTATCTTTATCTTTTTTGATGAATACCACTTTTTGTAAGGTAGTTTTTTAAGAATGACTACTGGCGGAATTCATGTTTACTAAATCTTCTGTAACAATTTGAAACGTTTTAGCTTCTACCAAAGCTGAGCTTTGTGCAAGATTAGATGATATAGTTAGCGCACCTTGAGATTTACATTTTAATTTACGTAAGATTTTGCAGATAATAAAGGTGTATATAAACAAGTACAATAGTTATATGTATAAGACTGATCTCCAGTTATATATTTTTTAGACATATTCATTTTATAATGCAACCAATTACTTTTTCAATCCTCCTACAATTTCACAACATTCCATCAAGCTTTGCATAGTAAATTGACAATAATCAATCGTATTCTCATTCGATGTTAATTGTCTTTTTTGTTCTTGTGAATCTACGTTATTTTCACTAGTTTTTTCTTCAGCATCTACAACTTTTTTTGTAGAAGAGTTGATATTTTTTGCTGTAATAATTCCTTTTTAAAATCTGTATAATGTAGATGATCTCGTAATTTCATTGCTTTAAATCCAGGAGTGCTTGAGTTAGATATATTATTTGTTAAACATAAATGATTTTGATGATGGTAAATTAATAAGTAAAACATCTAGATCAGTTTCTGGATTTTTTGTCATATTATAAATTGTCTTACTCTTTTTACAGTTCTTAATTTTGTGTTATGTTTATAGGTATTAAAGGAGTTTCTAGCATTGCATTTTTACTTCGAAAGATACTATATTTTGATTGGTTCTTTCAGCTCTATATTCTGGGGATTTAGTTTTAAGTTAATCAAATTATGTTTTATCTTGAATATGTTTTTTTCAGGTTGATTTGTTTGTATTTTTTAATGATAATATTCTACCATTTTGTCATGTGAACTTTGGTAGCATTTCAGGGTTTTTATAGTCTACTACCGTATTTTTTTTCCAAACATAAATTGCGACCATGTTTTTTTAAAGAAAGTTTTCTTTGCCGATCTATCTGCAACCCTTTCTAATACATTTTGTTGGGAAGGTTTTGGTTGATTTGTAGATAAAGAGGTATTGCTTATCGGATGAGTTAATGTATTTTTTCCTATTGTTGTTTAATTTCTTCTTTTTTTTGTTAAATAAATTACAGTTTAAGATTGCGCAAGGTTCTTTGTCAATTTATTTTACTTTTATTATGATGAATCTAATTGCCTTTATTGCATTGTGTTTTTCGTTATTTTTGCCAAAATTGATTGATTTGCTTGGAAAGCAAAGGCGAAATAATGGGCTTTAGAAATTTCTTGTACAGGATAAGCAGGTTTATTTGAGGAATGTCCTTAGCAGACAGGCCGATCATTTGAAATGAATTGCAAGAAATTGCAATGTCTGGTGACTGATATTATTCTAAGTATCTGAATTCAAGATTCAAGGCTCAGAAAAAACTTTTTCAATCCAACCTCTTTGGATTCAAGATTCAAGGCTCAGAAAGAACTTCTTCAATCCAACCTCTTTGGATTCAAGATTCAAGATTCAAGGCTCAGAAAAAACTTCTTCAATCCAACCTCTTTGGATTCAAGATTCAAGGTTCAGAAAAAAACTTCTTCAATCCCACCTGCTTGGGCTCAAGATTCAAGATTCAAGGTTCAGAAAAAACTTCTTCAATCCAACCTCTTTGGATTCAAGATTCAAGGCTCAGAAAAAAAAACTTCTTCAATCCCACCTGCTTGGGCTCAAGATTCAAGATTCAAGGTTCAGAAAAAACTTCTTCAATCCAACCTCTTTGGATTCAAGATTCAAGATTCAAGGCTCAGAAAAAAAAAAACTTCTTCAATCCCACCTGCTTGGGCTCAAGATTCAAGATTCAAGGCTCAGAAAAAACTTCTTCAATTCCACCTGTGTGGATTCAAGATTCAAGATTCAAGATTCAAGGCTGAAGGCCTTCGGATTCATTTTTTTTTTTGGATCTTGAATCTTGAATCCTACCCCATTGGATTCAAGAAGTCTTTTTGGGGATCTTGAATCTTGAATCTTGAATCCTACCCCCTTGGATTCAAGAAGTCTTTTGGGGATCTTGAATCTTGAATCTTGGATCGGATGTACTTAGGGAAAGGTGGGATGGGAACAAAATTGCAAAAAAAAAACAATGCAATTTTTGATCACACAAAAATGCCCTAAGTTTTAGAGTCCAAAATGTTAAGAACAACACGGTAAATACGACTAAATTTGCTTGAAATGTAGGTCTTGGGGGTGCCAAATATACGTATTATATATATAAATATAAATAAGTATATATTTATATAAATATATATGTATTCAAATTTACATATAACATATAGATAAATGGATATTTGAGATCAGCTTAGTATTGAAAAGAAGTGGACGTCCTGTACTTTCTCGGGGAAAGGCTGCACTTTGGCTGACCCGTCCTGTTGCATAACAAGTCATTCCACGAGACGGCAGGTGCCGGTGGCTTCGGACTGATGCCAGGCGTCTCTTTATGTCTTTCCGTCATTGTTGGTGTCGATTTGATTCTCCAGTAGCACTGCATAGGTGGATTAATATAGCCTTTTGGTGTCTATTATATATTTTACACATATATATATGATTAGGGATGTACAGATACATATGCATACGTAAAACATATCATACATGTGTTTATCGTATTGTATCATCATTATTGAATATGCACACTGATTGTGGATGATTGTGGCATCCATTTGGACATGTTACTTCCAGTGTCACGAGAACTGCCTAGGCATGCCTAATTTCATGGAGCTACCGGCCCGGCTCTCAGCTGCTTCGACCAGGGCCTGCCACCACTGTCTAGCACTAGCCATGCTGAGGGAGCGAACCTGGGCGGCATGTCAGTGCCGCAGGGCTTGCAGAACTTGCAAAACCTTCCCAACCTGCCTGGATCCTAGTGAAAAAGGTGAGCTCTCAATCGATTATCATGGATCACCATGGATCACCATGGATCACCATGGATCACCATGGATCACCATGGATCACCATGGATCACATGGGCCAACATCTTCCATCACAAGGCATCCAAGGCATTACAAGGCATTCAAGATCTCCCAAGCTATTGCCACATGACTGTCACATGACGATTGGGGCTCATTCGGGATCTGATTTTTTATGATTTGTTCATGTCCCTTAGGCAAGGCCTTCAAGGTCTTCAGGGTCTTCAAGGCAGGGACATGGACTCTTCATGCCCTGAGACATGTGGAGCCCCCAGCTGGTCCCATGCTGGTCCCTTGCGGAACTGGCAGGCCTTCCGAATCTTCAATCGCTAGGTGAGTGCCTCAGATATCAGCAACATAATCAATTTATATAATCAATATATCAGCAGTCATATAGACGTGGCCTCCCTGAAAGATGGCTCCTGTGCTTTCTGGCTTGCATATTGCAGCCATTTGTGAGGCTTGGCCAACCCAGCCTGGGCTGCCGCGTTTGTACAACAACCACAGGCTCAAGTGTTTGTTTGGGAGAGCGCCTGCAGTTGCATCTCATAAGGGGATCTGCTTGCAAGTCACCCGAAGTCTATTGTTGCTGTCCCTCATTTAGTGGAACGCTTGATGAGCAGGTTCCTGCACGTAACATGGGCCCCATGCCGAGTGGCGGTACAACACCCGCGGGCATGTTTGGGGCTTACGTGACCAGCAACAGCCAGCATCAGCAAACATCCGCCAGTGCTCCGGTTGTTCAACCCTGTTTAACTATCATGGATTGAACTGTGCCAAAAATGCCCAAAAAAGGGTGGGGGGCTATGATGTTCCGGGTGTGTTTCAGGCCGGGCTATATGGACTTGGGCGATAATCTGCGCAGTCTGCAGGGAGCACCGGCCAGATCCTTGTGAAGATCACTAGTAGCTTTTTGTCGGTGAAGGTGATTTGGGTTGCAGAACCCTTATATCAGGAGCAACAAGTCTAAGCACACATCATTTACTTGCATGCATATAGTGACTGTATATACTGAATATATATATATATATGTATGTATAATTAGTATAGTTGGACCACGGCCTTTAGAAGGCCGTTGTGTTTTGTACACATCGGGGGGGTGGGGTGGGGCAGGGTGGGGTGGGGTGGGGCATGTAATGACGTTCAATGTGAACTTGCGGAGGAAGGACATGCTTGTCTGTGGCTGCCGGTAGGTGCATGTATGCACGGGTGGGGTGGGGTGGGGTGGGGCATGTAATAACGTTCATGCGAACTTGCGTGGGAAGGACATGCTTCTCTGTGGCTACTGTAAGTTCTCTGGAACTTTCCACTCATGCGTCATGCCACGCTATGTAAGTTCTCTGGAACTTTGCACTCATACGTCATGCTACGTTACTGTAAGTTCTCTGGAACTTTCCACTCATGCGTCATGCCACGCTATTGTAAGTTCTCTTGGAAGAACTCGAAGCGTTGCTGTGACCAACGCAGGAATCAAACCATGTGAGGTTGAATATTTTGAAAATTCTCACAAACCCCAAAAATGGTAGTTTTGTCTAGGCGAAATGCTTTTTTTGAAAATATGCACCAGAATAAGAGGTTAACGGCCTTAAAACCACATCAAAACATGCCAGGTCGAATAAGTTTGGGAATTCTCAAAAACCTCAAAAATGGTAGTTTCGTCTAGGCAAAATGCCTGTTTTTGAAAATATGCATCAGAATAAGAGGTTAACGGCCTTAAAAAACACATCAAACAAAATCCTATTGGCACGAGCACATCAAAAATCATCCATGATACACCGTTGATCACAAAAAACCCACGGCCTTCTAAAGGCCGTGCTCCTAGTTATATAATATTATATATATATATATATTCAGTTGTATATGTATATTGTATGTGCACAATATTCCTGTCCATATGCGGCACACGTGTGTGTATGAACCAATTCCATGCTGTGTGACAATGCACTTCACATTCCTTGGCAAATGTTGGTGTTAGCCAGACCCGAACAACGCCTTTCCGTGCTGAGGGGCAGGCTTCGTACAAAGGTGCAGGATTGGTTTGGGACTTAAGCAGCACCAATAGGGCGCCCAGTTTGGCCGAGTCAGTTGAGCTTAAAATTTCTTCATATATTCGATATATGGCCGTGGGTCAAAACTCATTGGGGTCGCGTGGCCATGGTATTTGGATGAATATCGATGTGCCTGACCTTTTTGGATCCTTTTAGCTGTCCCAAGAGTTTGTTTTGCACTGAGGCATCAGGTCAGGGGTTCATGGGCTGAAACAGCGCCTGACACTTGCTGCAATGGCAGAGCAAGACGCTACCAGAGTCAATGCAGATCTTAACAGGAAATAACAGGAATACATATGGAATGCGTCATGAGTCATGACAGTATACCGAATGATACAATATATAATATATATGTATGCATTATATGCAATTATATGGACGTTTAGAAGAATATTCTTGATTATTATTGTTGAACTGAAATGCTGTAGCATCATGTAGTGTCATGTATGGCGCAAGGTAATTGTGCCGTATGTATTTCCAAGTGTAATCTGTGTTTTTGCGGGTTGTATAGTGGGATATGATGTTGCACATTACTCCCATTGTAATTATCCGGCAAGTCAATGTGATTGTACACATTTCTTCGCGTACATGACGCACTTACACATGCTTGTTTGCAGGCGGTATCCATGAGTATGAATTGGTATGTCATGCATAATGAATTGATATATATATATATATAAGTTGCAGGCCAATTATGTTTGGATAACAGCCCAATCTAGGCATCGGAGCATATTGCAGCCTAGTCGGCTTAGTCAAGTTAATTGACAGAAGGTCTTGCGACAAGATGCCCTGACAGCTGATCCTTTGAAACCTGTGGATTCGTCAAAGGCTGGAAGCCTGAGATGAAAGAAATTCGGAGAGTTATGAGATGCCATGCCCTGCATTGCCCTGCAGGTCTTCGCAGAATCTCGGGGCCTCCCGTTATGTTCTCTGATTTTGATCATAATGTCATGATAATCTCCATATGCCTATAGGTCTACTATAGGTATCTATAGGTATCTACAGGTATCTATAGGTACAAGATGGTACAAGTAGCAACTGCCACCCCAGGGATATCCAGGGATGTCATGTGGCCGTCCGGGAGTCACTGCGGCTCTCACATGGGTGGCATCAAGCAACCCATAGCCACGGCCATGTGAAGCGGTGAGGAAAGCAGACTCTTTGGGCCGCGATTCTGCTACAAAGCTACAAACATCCAGCTACCCTCTGGTAAACTAACATAGCTATGGAAAATCACCATTATTAATGGGTAAATCCACTATAAATGGCCATTTTCAATAGCTATGTTAAATTACCAGAGGGTAT